GTGTGCATGGGCTGGGAATGAACCCAGGGCCTGGCGATGGCTAGAGCACCTGTCCTCCCCTGCCTGCTCCCTAGGCCTCCTTCTCAGTTCTAAGTCAGTCTCTGGTTAGTTCTTAAGGCCGCGCCTCCTTGCTGGCTCTCCTTAGCTGCAATCTCTTGTTTCAGGCAAATGCACACAAAAACCCAAAGAAGCCAAGACAGGGAATGGGACCTGAAAGACTGAAGCCACCCAGCCTCGGGTGGACAGCGACTTCTTTCCAGGGCGATCCTGGATGCGCCTCTGCATCCTCCGAGCTTCAGCTGAAATTATGCAACACATGGCCAGCATCATCTGGGGGTGGGGGGGGTCAAAGGGGATCCTTGTGAAACCACCTACATACAGTAGGTATTTAATAAGGATACTCGATGGTTACTTCTGTAAGCAGTTGTCTCTTGTGTATTTGTGAGCACCTGTGTCCAGGCCAGCCCCATGCTGGACACTGGGGACAGAGGGAAATCAGGCCTGCAGGCCATTATCGGACCTGGTGACTAAGGAGCGCAATCTAAATCTTGGCGGGCTCTTTTCCCAGTGAGGAAAGTGTCAGGGAGCACGCTAGTGGGCAGAGCGTACTCCAGCAAAACCCCCTGGTCCCCTGGCTCTGCAGGATACCAGGTGCCATGGACCATTCAACAGGAGCACGTGAGTGGCATCTGGCACTTTTTGGTGGGCCACAACTGTCACAGCTATGACTTCTGGGTGTTCCCCCTAAAATAAAACAAACCACACAAGCAAAGAGATCTGACACGTCCAAAGCCATCCAATCTGTCAGCATGGGCCACTTATAGCCATCTCAGAAAAGGGGCTAAAGCAGGTGGCAGGGGACAAGTGTGTGTGTGTGGGAGGGAGCCCCTTGAGTGTTGTCAAGTATTATCTCTTTATTCCTTTGGTGGCAGGATTTTCTGGTAGAACACAGTGTAGGCCTGAGCAAGGCGGGGAGCTGGGGACAGCCTGGCTGAGGGCTCAGCAGGGGGTTCAGGTGGTGGGGGTCTGCAAGTCCTCTGCAGGCAGGAATCCTGGGGGCAGCCTGGCTCAGCAGGCCCTTGGTGGCAGGGAGCACACACAGGGCCCTGCCCCTCATTCCAGCCACCCACAGCTGCTCCCGAAGGCCTGCAGCCGCCACATGACGACACCCAGGCCTAAGCCTCCTCCATCAGCAGCCCCTCCAAGGGGCTATTTGCAGAGGCCCCCCCCACCTGGACTCGAAGGCTTCGCACGCAAGTGTTTGCTTTGAAAAGGGAGAAAGGGGAGGAGAGCAGGTGTCCCCTTCCTCCCTGCCCCACCCACCCTTGAGGGCTCCCGGGAGCACGTGTGCCCTCCTGTCATCCCAGCATCTGCTGCCCCGTGACAAGGGCCTTTGAAGCTCCACAATGACGCCATCTGCCAGGGACACTGGCCGGCTGGCTCATCGGGGCTGACCCCACGGTTGCTCTAGCAACCAAGATGGCAGCCTGGAGCCTCCAGAAACCCCCAGGCCCACGAACACTGACGGGGGTGCCTGGGGCAGCATGGCCCTAGGCCCAGGCTTCATTGGCCCAGTGGACGGTGCAGGTGTGGGGTGGCCCAGGGAGGAGGAGGGACAAGGAGTCCTGGAGAGGTCTGGACTCTGGGTGGGGGAGGAGATCTTCCCAGGTGGCTGTGGGGAAACGCCAGCTCTGGGAAGGACACTGGCTCGCCTGACCCGGGAGGGGGTTTGTCCACATGGAGGAGACTGAATGGTCCCTGCAAGGGCTCTTCCCAGGGCCCTCTCACCTGCCCTTGAGGCTCAGTGCCGGGGGCTTCCAGTGGGATCGGCACCTCCCCTGGGCCCTGTGTCACTGGGCAGAGCTGCCTCCTGCACCTGGGGCTCAGCAGGGCTCATGGCCACTCAGCTGTCCCTGCCCAGCACGGGCCCTGCGTGTGGCAGATCCAGCCATGTTGAATGTACAAGTGAAGTGGCTTCGCTTCTCAGCCACTTGCAGAGTGATCTGAGGGCCCAGCACCTCAGCTGCTCTCGGTGTGTGAGGAACGCGCTGGGGACACGGAAACGCCTCCTCAGCTCTGTGGTGAGAGGTGGGCATGGGAGGCTTCTCAGCCAGTCAGTGCTACAGACCCCACAAGTCACTCCCGCATGGACTTGCGGGGACACCCATGTGTACCCTGGCATCTGGCCTAATCTGGGCAAACAGTTGGAGCAGAATAAGAATACCTATTAGCACCCAGACCCACTTGGGGTAGGCTAGCCTGTGGGACCTTGGGCGAAATCATTTGCTATCAGATCCCCTGATGGGGGTCAGAGGGCTTGTGTATGTCCCTCCAGGGTGGCTGTGACAAGTTACCTGGGTACGAGTGGCATAAGGAGCCCCCACTTCATACTCCCATCTCTCATGAGAGGCAGGTTTCTCATGACCCCTGTGTGCAGGGGCCACCTGGGTCTGTTGGTTTGAATCTCATTTCTCCAAGTTCTAGAGAACTCCACAGCCTAGTTACGCCCCCGTTTTCCTCTCTGGTTGTGTAACTTTTTCTACTAATTCGTAGTTCTCTGTATAGAGATTCTAAAGACGACTCCTTCCTTGCACGTGTGGCAACGGTCTTTCCCCCATCTGCAATGTGGAGTCCCAGCTTTATGGCTGGTGCCATTTGTTGAAGGGAAGTCTGTCATTTCTGTGTAGTCCTTTCTGTGTAGAAAGCTAAGCACCAAAAAAACCAAATAACCCAATCAACAAATGGGCCAAGGACCTGAACAGACACTTCTCAGGAGAGGATAATCAATCAATCAACAAATATATGAAAAAATGCTCATCATGTATAGCAATTAGAGAAATGCAAATCAAAACTACTCTAAGATTTCATCTCACTCCAGTCAGAATGGCAGCTATTATGAAGACAAACAACAATAAGTGTTGGTGAGGATGTGGGGGAAAAGGTACACTCATACATTGCTGGTGGGACTGCAAATTGGTGCAGCCAATATGGAAAGCAGTATGGAGATTCCTTGGAACCACCTTTGACCCAGCTATCCCTCTCCTCTGTCTATACCCAAAGGACTTAAAAACAGCATACTACAGGGACACAGCCACATCAATGTTTATAGCAGCACAATTCACAATAGTTAAACTGTGGAGCCAACCTAGATGTCCTTCAGTGGATGAATGGATAAAAAAATGTGGCATTTATACACAATGGAATATTACTCAGCAATAAAAGAGAACAAAATCATGGCATTTGCAGGTAAATGGATGGCGTTGGAGAAGATAATGCTAAGTGAAGTTAGCCAATCCCAAAAAAACAAATGCTGAATGTTTTCTGTGATATAAGGCAGCTGAGTCATAGTGGGGTAGGGAGGGGGAGCATGGGAGGATTGGATGAATTCTAGATAGGGCATATGGGTGGGAGGGAAAGGGAGGGGGCAGGAGATTAGCAAGGATGGTGGAATGTGATGGTCATCATTATCCAAAGTACATGTATGAAGACACGAATTGGGTGTCAACATACTTTATATACAACCAGTGATGTAAAAAACTGTGGTATATATGTGTAATAAGAATTGTAATGCAAAAAAAAAAAAGTACATGTATAAAGAAAAAGGAACAACCTTTGTCCTTGTGGTTTGAATGGCATTGGCTCTAGGGTGGGACAAGGCCTAGGACTGGCCAACCAGGGGACTCCATTTTCCAAGCTCTAAGGACACTGGGGTCCCGAGCTGAGTCAACCAAAGCACTCTTCTTCTGAGAGTTGGGTGGAATTACCAGGGAAGAGGCATTTTATTTTTTTGCCGGCCTATTCTATTTGAGATTGAAGCCAATATGGAGAAAAGCAGATCACAAGATGGAGAGAGACCTATTCCTGACATTGTTTGTAGCTGGATCCAGACTAGTACCCCTGAAGCCAGCTCCACAGGTTCTGTCAAAGTCCTGACTAATATAGACCTAGTCACAACAGGAACCAAAGCACAGGGACTAGACTCTGATCTTGAACCATTATTAAAAGTCTGAAGCCAGATACAGTCCTATGTACCTACAGTCCCAGCTACTCAGGAGGCTGAGACAGGAGATCATTGGAGCCCAAGAGTTTAGGAGCAGCCTAGGGCCCCCCCAAAATCTCTGAGTCTGACTCTTGAAAAAAAAAATATTTTTCACACACACACAAATACGCATGACGAGGTACTGATAGGGCCTTCCAATGCTGTATTTACCTATAGGCCTCAGTTTCCAAATCTGTGAGGTAGGGAAAATCAGTCCACCTCTTCCACCTCTGTGACTCCAGCTTCCCCAACACCTGAGCCTCTGGCTGAAGTGGGACACTGTGACCTCACGTTCTATCCTCAAGGACCTTTTGAATGGGAGACCAGAAACTGTGTACCTACTAGAAGTACTGAGCACATAAGAAAACAGATGTCAGCTCCAAGCTGCCCCAGGCAGAGACGATGGCAGGGGGAGGAGGGAGGAGGGAGGGAAACCTGGACCGGCGAGCAGCTATACCCAGAAATAAGGCACGGAAAAAATGAGTCCAGGTTTTCACTGTGAAATCTACACAGAAGCCAGGTGCGGTGGCCACGCCTGTGATCCTAATAGCCGGGGAGGCAGAGGCAGGAGGATCGCCAGTTCACAGCCAGCCTCAGCAACCTAGCACCTCAGGGACACCCTGACTCTAAATAAAATACAGAATAGGTCGAGTGCCCCTGGGTTCAGTCCCTGGTACCAAACAAACAAACAAAAAGCCTACAGAAAAGGATGAACCCTGCTAAGAATGATTTCCACAAAAATAAATGTAGAAATAAAAAATAAACCAACAAACCCCTTGGGACCAGCAGCCCCCCTTGGAGCTGGATGGAGGTCTTTGGGAAGCGTCCTCCTGGAGAGTGCGCTCGGGTGGAGGGCCATTGCTGTCAACGTCCTCCCTGTCCTGGGGGCCGAGCCCAGCTCCTAAGTAGGCACCCACGGCTAGGCACCCACGGCAGGGCAGCCCGGCGCCAGGCTACTCACCGTGGTGATGAACCTGTACAGCGGCTGCCGCCTCTCGGTGTACTTGACCGTGATGGGGCTGAGGTCATAGCGGAACCAGATGGCGGGGATGATGCGGCCCGTGTGGCTGTAGGCGACATACTCCTGCAGTGGGGAGGGGACCACTGTGAGAATCAGAAGCACAAACCCACCCGGTGGGCTGCCTGCCAGTGGGTGGGCGTGCACTGCAGAGGGTCCCCGAGCCCTGGGGAAGGGCCTCTCCTGTTTCCCGTGGAGCAGACTCCCCGGCCTCCTCTCCAGGCCCTGGACTCTGCCACTGGCATTGCACTCAGATGGCAGCCTTGGGGGACATTTTTGACTCTTAAGCTGTGGGAAATGGACCACATGACCGGGAAGCAGCATAGGAACTAAAATATGAATTTGAAAGCAGAGATGGATAAGGAAGAGATTTTTGGGGGGCTCAGGCTGAGTAGAGGCTATTTCCCCCTAGAACTTCTGAGCCAGGCAGAACCTTGCATTAATTCAACAATGGTGGGCTAGGCAGCCCAGACACGTAGGTGCTGGGTCCCTGAGGGGAGGAAGCCCCTTTCCCAGAGAGGGTCTCAGTCTGCAGCCTGCGGGAGGAGGCAGACCCCGGCCGTCCCCGATACTGCAGACCTTGACAGCCAGAGGCCCTGTCTGCCTCAGGGTTCCTGAGATGTGCACGTTGGGACCAGAGAGGTGCTAAGGGGCTGAACCTACAGAGTGGCTTTGGGCCAGCTCCTCCCTCCCTTGGGACCTTGGTTTCCCCATCTCAACTCTCAAGGGCCTGTAGAATCTCCAGTTTGGGCACTTGGGGTGCTGGGCGCCTCTGGGCTATTCCCACTATCTACAGCAAACGGAGACCTAAACTGGGGGACCTCCAACCCTCATCTCACACTGCTCACAGGGATAATAGGGAGAGGGCCGGACTTCCTGCTGAGGGCACGCTGAGCAAGCTGTTCTGGCCCTGGGCACTGGCCAGGCCTGGGGACAGGAGCCTGGAGCAAGACACAGCAGCTTCCTCGGGGGAGAGCTGATGGGGTTGTGTCTGCCTGGGTCACAGCCAGAGCTGCGGACAGAGGAAAGGAGCAAAAAATAGCCACGGTAAGCGTCACTGACCCAAGGCCTTCTCTGTGGCTGAGCACTTTTGCACACCGCCTCATTGAACAGCAGTCCTGTGACGTCACCATCTGACAAATGAGTAAACCGAGGCATGGAAAGCTGACAGGGCAGGTCCCAGGCCACACAGCTGGTGATGACTGAGCTGGGACTTGAACTGGGTGTGGTCCAGCATCCCTGTTCTTCCTGCTCAGACCACAACCATGTCCTGCGTCGCTAAGTTGCTGTCAGAACTTGAGGGTGATGCTACTATTGAATGTGTCCCTCAAGGTCATATGTTGTTGGTGTTTGGAGGTGGGATCACTGGGAGGTTTAGAGGAGGTCAAGAGGGTGGGGCCCCAAATGGCATCAGTGGCTTTATGAGGAGACCAAGGGAGTCTGCTTGCTCGGTCTCTCCAGGTGATGCCCTCCGCCAGGCTATGACGCAGCAAGAAGGCCCTCACCAGACGCCAAGCAGATGTCAGCGCTGTGCTCCTCAACTTCCCAGCCCGCAGAACCGTGAGCCAACTGAACGTCTCCTCCTCACCAGCCAGTTTCAAGTCCTTTGTTATAGCAACAGCAGATGGACTAAGATGCCCCCCTTGACACAGTGAACCAAAGAAACAGCACTGTCCTGCCGTGTTCCACCAGAATGCCCGTCTACAGTGGGTCAGGGTAGAGGGGCCCTCAGTCACCAATAGACAGCAGCTCTCCGGTGGGCTGACTCCACCGCTCCTTTTCAGACCCAAGTGGGTGACATAATCAAGAGGCCAAGCCTAGAGCCCAGGGGAACCAGGTTCTAATCCTTCCTCGGCCACTACCTAGTTCTATGACCACCGCTCCATTCCTTGGTGGCCAGATATGTAAAACAGGGGGTGTCCCCACTCCCAGTATCAGAGCTGCGAATGCTTGAGGAAGGACACAGGCTGAGAGCTTTGCAGGCCTGGCCCGTGGTGAGCACCCAGCAAACGACAGCACCCCTGCTCTGGTTGTTTTCAGCTGAGCTAAATGATCATGGCTCCTGAAGGGTTTGGTGGCCCTGGATCAGAAAAAGGCAAGTTCTGGTGGTAAATGGGAAGCCCCCACCTGTCCGGCTGGTATCTCAACCAACCAGCTTCCAGCACGTACAGCCCGTTGGCAGGTCATCTCTGGAGGGGCCCGAGGCGTCTGGGATCAAAGCCACTAACTGTTGGGCTGTCACATTCCACTCACTCATTCCATAACCACACTCTGCTTCCTGCCAAGATCTGCTCTTTCTCCATGACTCTGAGATCTGGGGTCCTGGGCCATCCCCGTTATTCCACAGCCAATCAATCAACAGCCAACCTGGCCCGATTAACCAGCCTCCCAAGTTTGGATAAAGCGCTTATCAGCTCAAGGGCTGGAGTGCGGATCACGGGCTCATCAATCAGGTTCTGAGCCCAACGGACCAGGACCAGGACCAGAGGCAGGACCCTGAGGCATCAGCAATCCTGGGACCTCAAACACTTCACACCCTTTCTCCTGGTTATATTTTCTCCCCTGGACTCTGAGACCCCCCACGATGGCAAGGATTGGGTCTTTTCATCTTTACCCAGAGTCAAGCCTGGAGGGAAGGTCCCCTCGCCCCAGGAGCCTGGAAGAAAATCAGCAGAAATCACAGGGCACAGCCGCCCGCCACCTCCGCCTTCTGCCGGCAGAGGGCGCACTCGACCACGGCTGGCAGCCGCCCACGCACCTTGTTGGCCACCGTGTACTGGTAGGAGTACCGCTGCTTGCCGTTCTTGTCCTCGTAAACCGTGGGCACGATCTTCAGGATGTAGTCGTGGGAGGCCAGGGCTGCGGGAAGCACGGGCAGGATGAAGCAGGGGATGGGCACTGCCTGGCTGACAGCTCTTTCTATCCCTTTAGTCCTGACACCCTGGCACTGCAGGGGGCTCTTTCCCCAGTGTCACCACCAAGCACCGCCCTGGATGCCAGGGACCCGAGAGTCCACCATCAGGATGTTCTCCTGAACTGTACATAATATTAAAATTCTGGGAACTGCCTAATGTCTAACAACAGGGCAGCCTCTAGAGTGGGTGCCGGGAGGGTAGACTCCCAGAGGTGTCATGCAGTGAGAAGAACCAAGGGACAGAAGAGGGTACACAGCACGTTCTGTGAGCTGGGACAGGAGGAGACATTCTCTCTAACGGGTGTGGGCACCTGTAAGAATTATCTAGAAAGATCCCAGGAAGCCCTGAGCAGCCTGGCCCTGGGGAGGAAGGCAGGGTTTGAGAGAGACCCCATCCACCGTGGGCGCTGCTCACATAGCTTTACTTGCAAACAAACAAGAGTTTTAGTTTTCAAAAGAAAAAGCTTGCCAACCAGAAAAGCCCAGTGACGTGAGCTGCCGATTCCTTTCCCCTTTGTCAGTGACTGGCCCTGGATCCTGCCACCTCAGCCCTGCCCTGCCCTGCCCTGCTGACACAACTCCGGCCCCTCCCCCACAGGCCGGACGGGGAGGTGCCTGGACCTGGCCTCACTCATCTTCTGGTCCCCAGAGCCCTGCGCAGGGCCTGGTACGGTCAGATGGCAGCAGATGCTTGCTGTATGAATGAACGGATGGAAGCTGCTGGCCCAGCGTGAATGGAGGAGCGGGTGAATCAGCTACTGAGAAGCATGAGGTCACCAGGGTCCAGCACCCAGCCGCAGCCCTGAGGCACCAGTCTTACCAGGGCAGAAAGAATCCTCCCGGGCCTTCTAGGATGCTAGGAGAGGCATCCAGGTCTGGGACCATGGGGCTAAGACAACACGGAGACCTAGACCTAAGACAACACGGAGACTCACCAGGCCAGTACAGGTCTAGTCCTGGACTCACTGGTGGTCCAGCCTGGCACACTTCCTCCTGGCCGCTGTGGAGTCTCCAGAAGGAACAGAATCAGGCTAACCCCTCAGAAAAACCTGGGGAAAGCCCTGCAGCCTTGGAGCTGGACCCAGGAAGCCCCACCTGTGTCCAATGGCTCTCAGCCCAGAGTATGAGGATGCCCTGGGATCGAAAGACCTCACCTGTGAAGAGCCAGGTCAGTGGGCCATGGGTGGGTCTCAGCATTTAATCCAGGAGCCCAAGACCACCCTGGACATACGGTGTCCCAAATGCGCACAGCATTAAACTCGGAAGGAATGAATGCCTTACCCAGATCAGACCTGTACTATCTTTGTTAGAACTTATGCAAAACTCAGCCGTCACAGGGAAACCTCACGGTCACCGTCACATCCACCTTCCACACAGGACTGGCTCACGTGCCCGTGTAGTGACTGCAGACAGGGGTTTGTATGGGGCCGCCCGTCTTCTTCTAACTCTCCAAGGAGTGAGTTTCAGGGACATCTTTTCAAGGCCAAGGCAAGGAACCCAAGCCCCAGGGAGCCTGTGTCCTCACCCGCATGTCCCCAGCACCTCGCCACAATAGGTGCTCAACATGCCTGACTGCCCAGGCCTTGATGGGGCCTCCCAGGACATGGGCACACAGGACGTCCTCGCCCCGCCCCACGGCCAGGGCTGATTGGCTCCTGTCTTCACTCTTCCAACAGCGACCCCGCAGCAGCGTCTCCCTAGGTCTCTCCCAGCTGTCCTGGTTCTTTCCAGTGCTCTTCTCTAGCAGAACCCGAGGCTCACAAGCTTTGATGCAGTTCCCCAGATGCCCACTAGAGGCAGGCACACGCGGGGGTTGGCGGAGGGCTCCTGGAGACCACAGGCTCATCTCGGGTCCCCTTGCGCCCCTCCAACACCATCAACACAGCGCCCCCTGGTTTCCTCTGCACCTCACCAGTGGGATGGGCTTCAAAGCTGCGCTTTCTTTGTCTTTTTTTTGGGCTGGAGCCCAGGCCTTGCACACACGAGGCAGGGGCTCTCCTCTTGCTGCACCTCCAACCCGCAGTTAAACCAGCAGCCTGCGTGTGTGAGTTGCACACCATTCAGTGCCACGACACAGGACACAATTCTGCCTAAGAACAGCCTAGGTGTGGCCATGGGAACTGTTCCCAAAGTGGACCACTGGCACCACAAAGGGGAAAGAAGAGAAAGGCTGGCACTTGGGCACCTGCAGTGCGACTCACGGACTGAGCCCTTGACAACCCCTTGCTGATCCTCATGGCAAGGCCCTGTGAGAGGTGGAAGGGATGCTCCCATCTTACAGATGAAGAAACTGAGGCTCGGGGGTTAGCAACTTCCAAGTTCCTAGTGCTGCGGAGTGGTGGAGCCTGACTCTGGAGTCCAAGGTCCCCCGTCACCACACTGCCACCTGATAACTGCTCCTACAAGTGATGTCCAGGTGTGACGGCTCATCACTCCTTAGCATGGCTCACACACCTGGTGGTTACTGGCACAGGCTGAGTCCTGGGGACAGACAGTGGGCAAGGCAGGGTCCCCAGTTCATGGGCTTATGTTTTTGCTGGAGCCGCAACAAAGAGCAACAAATGTCTGAAGGGACAGGTCATTTCCCAGGCTGGCACGTGCAGGGGGGAAATGGGCGTAATAACGCCGAAGAGTCAGCAGCTCATGCTCTGTGCGCCCCAAAAAACTAAAAACGACTTCTGCTCAAGGAGGTAGACTTCACAGGGTCACAGGGAGACAGGGGTTTGACTGACTGGTGGGCAGAGAGCGGAGGGTGTCTCCTTTCACCGCATCCTTGGCTGGGGGGGAATCAGAGAGCTCGGGTGAGGGGATGAGGCAGGTGACCTGTCCAGCATGGGGGGTGGCTAGAGCAGACAGGCCTGCTGGGCCCCTGTGTGTGAGCGTGCGTGAGTGTGGGGTGTGCAGCACCTGTGTGTGGTCTGGTGTGTGCAGATGGCTGTCCTCTTTCAAGGGAGAAGAGGGGAGGAGCCACTTCGGGTGGGAGGGGCAGGCAGTCAGGGGTGCTACCTGGGCCACCTCCAGAGATGTTCTCGCAGTGGCCTCCTGGAGCGAGAGTGGGATTGGGCCTGGCCATCACCCTCAGGCCAGTGTCTCCACTCAGAACTGCATGCAGCACTGGTGACAATCCTCCCTGCCTCCCCCTGTCCCTCCACCCTCCCTCCATCCCTTCTGCCCTCCTTCTGTCCCCTCTGCCCTCCCCCAGCCCCTCTGTCCTGTCCCCTCTGTCCACCCCATGTCCCCTTCCACCTGCAGTGGGGGGCTCCCGGGGCCAAGGGCCGTAGGACACTCACGGTTGGAGTTGAGTCTGTCGGCTCCCCCAAGGGCATTGAAAGCTCCGTGGACATTCTGGACCTGTGGAGAAGCACAGTGAGCCATGGGGACAGGCCCTGGCCGTGGGGCACTGGCCATGAGAGCCTGGTCTGGGGTGCTCATTCGTGGTTGAGGGGTCCAGCAGGGTTGTGGGGAGCAGGAGACAGCAAGGGCTGGGTGTGGGGAGGCAGTGGCCTTCCCCTGCGAGCGCCTAGTAGGTGCGCTGTTGCCGCCCCCCCCCGCCCCATGTCGCTCATTTACGGCCCTCACAATGTATCACTGGCCTGTTTCACAGAAGACCACCCCAAGGCCTGAGAGGCACCCAGGCTTGTCCAGCATCAGGCCACTGCTGAGCAGCTGAGCAGGCTGGACCAGGGCTGCCGGCGTCCAGCTGAGCTCTTCCAACAGGGACACACCAGCTCGGGTGACTCTGGACCCTGCACTCCTCCTGAGGCCCTGCCACCCTCTAGAAGGCCAGAGAGGAGGCTAGATGGGGTGCCCAGAGCTGGGGCCTCCCACTGTCCACTGCAGGGACAGACGGACTTGTGGAGAGACTCTTCCTGGGCACCTGGGCAGGCACCCACCAGGCAGGGGCAGTTGCAGAGTGGGCTACGGCCACGGCCACCTCTCGTTAGGGCTCGGTGGGAAATAGCTGAGCCGAGGAGGATGAGCACCCCGCAAGTGGAGCATGCCACCAGGGGACCCTAAGAGGGGACACGCAGCCAGACACCCTGGAAGGCTTCGTGGAGGAAGGGACACCAAGACTGGGGATGAGTCAGGCCAACGGTCTGAGCTGGAACCTGAGGAGCCTACAGAACCCTGGTGGCCCCAGGGGAAGGAGGGCAGGGGGCGGCCTCAGGAGCAAGGCCCCCACAGGGCAGGCTGCAGCCGGGTGGGCAGTGGGTGGTGACCCAAGATCGTCCTGATCCTCCCAGGCCCTCTGGCCGTGGTCACTGAGTAGCCCTTCAGAGCCACAGGCTTTCATCAGGCAGGAAGGGGAGTCTGCAAGGGAGGAGGAAGCCTGTCCCTGCGCTGCTCTGGGGCAGGGGTCCAAGCCTGGTTTCTGACCCAGGTGGAGGTGGGTGTGGGTGGAGGTCGGTGCCGGACGTTCCCTCCACACGGCGTCTGTGGCTCATCTCACGCTCACATGCACAGTGACCTGGTGAATGTGTGTCATCCCACAGGCTCCACCTGGGCAGGGGCCAGGCTTGGCCTCCTGGTGTGAGCCACGCCAGCAGCTAGTAGGTGCTCAGTGGGCGGTTCTTGGACAGACAGACAGATGGCAACGATGGGTGGATGGCCCTAAGCTGGGGGCGTGTTAAAGAATTTCTCACTAAGTCAGAATTCCCCACTAAGGACACAGTGTGGGCCGCTGTCCCTCAGTCCTGGCACGAGCACGTGTCGGGGTGCTGCTCTCGACACTGCAGGCAGGCCCCCCAGAAACGAGGAGGAGGAGCAGGGCGGAGAGGCAGAGTCTCAGATGGGCGGTCCCCCCAGAAGGCATTTACCTGTGCCCAAGGAGGACAGAGGGGACCAGGTGACACAGCTACTGTACCCTCACTCCTGGCCATGCCACCCCGAGTGTGCCCTGCTCACCTGTAGTGTATCCCCAAAGGACAGCTTGTGGATGATGTGCGTCATGTCTGGGTTCTGTGGCTGGGCCGTGGCACTGTGTGTGGACACGTGGAAGTTGCCAGGTACCTGGGAAAGAAAGGCAAGTTTCAGGAGTGTGGCTGTTCAGGATGGGATTCAGGGGCTGTGGTATCCAGGTGCAGCACAGGCAGTCAGACCTGGAGTCAGACTTGGGTTTGGATCCTGGCTCATATCATTTCCAGCTGTTTGACTTTGAAGGAGCCACTTCACCTCTCTGAGCCTCGGACTCCCCTCTTGTAGAAGGTGGGGCTTACAGTACCTACCTGAGGAGGGAGCTGGGGTAACCTTGAGGGAGAATGTGGGTGCCCCCCCACCCCGGGGCAACTGGCACGAAGCAGGACTTGAGACAGTGGCTGGTCCCCAGCACCCGCCACGGTCTCTGGGCTACAGGACAAGGGTCTTCCTTGAACTCCAACCAAGACTTCCTACCCAAGGATGCCCACCGCCCTGGACAGGGGAGCCCTGAGGACAGACTGTGGCAGCCTCATTCCTTCCCTGGGTCTCGAGGCGTGGCAGAGCCTTGCTCCAGGGAGGCTTGAGACAAGAACCTGTGGGCCCAGAGCTGACAGCCACAGGTAAAGCTTCGGGCGGTGACGGCTCCCCAAGACCTCCTTGCTCCTGCACAAGGCTCACCTTCCCCTCCTAGCAATGCAGACCAAGGCCCTGGGGTCACACCCAACATCCCGGCCGTCAGGAGCCCTGTCCACCACCTTCCCGCACACCAGTGCCTGCCCCTCTCCAGCCATCGCAGAGGCCCTGGGCCAGGCTCTGGACAGACAGCAACGGCAGCCTTGCCTTGGGCACTCAGCGCCTGCCTTGTCCCCACCTGGTCTAGGCCCTTCACTGACCAAGCTGGTCTCTCAGCTCCTCCCCAAACCCTCCCCGGCTGGCTCTCTGTCTGTGGTGTGGATGTGGCTCATCTCCCAGGGCTCGCGTTGGAGGCTTGGTCCTCCCTAGACGACGTGGGAGGTGGGGCCTTTGAGAGCAGGGCCTGAGTGGAGGGCCACAGGTCAGAGGGGACACTAAGGGACTGCTGTAGTTCTCCTGGGACCCTGGTTAGTTTTTGAAAGTGGGCTATAAAAATAGCAGAGCCAGACCCTCGGCTCACTTTGGCTTCCTGTGTCACCACGTGGTCCCTCTTGCACGCACTATGATGCCACTGGCCAAATGGATGGGGCTGCCCAACCCTGGGCTTTCAGCTTCCAGAACTGAACCAAATAAACCTCTTTACTTTATATCCATCCTAGCCTCAGGTATTTCATTATAGCATTGAAAAACTAGTACGTAGTTGAGTTCACATCCTCACGTGCTGGGTTATGGCTACTGGCAAGCATTCTGCCCTGTCCTCTCTGCCACTGTCACCTGTGCTCACACATGTCTGCCACATTGGCCTCCCTGCTCTGCCTGGGACATTGCCCAGCATGTCCCACCTCAGGGCCTTTGTGGCCACCACTTCTCCCTGGAATCCTCTTCACCATGGCCGACCCACCTCCTTTGGGTCTATGCTCAGGTGTCACCTCTTAGGCCTTCCTTGTTCCCCTGTCCACAAGAGCACCACAACCCTTAACTGCTAGAGCACTTGTCTTCTGTCTTATCTTGTCCATACCAGCAGGGACCTGTCTGCTTCGTCCCCTGCTCTCTCAGACCCGACCTGGACAGGTGCTTCCCTTACTGAATGAAGGAATGACCTCTGATCCTTGGCCTGGCACCTGGTCACTCTCTTCATATAGAAAAGGAAACTGAGGCTCACAGCAGTGAAGACACCCGCTAAGTCCCCACGTCGAAAGCTGCGGTCTGACTCATGTCCCTGGACGTGCCCCTTCCTCTGGCTCACATGGGGTGCACCTCTCTCAGTGGCCCTTGGTGACAGCACAGCGTACGGAACTAGGGGAGCTGGAGTAGCGGAGCCCCGAAAAGCAGGGGTGACGGCAGCAGGCCTGAGAGGGAGGCGGTCACGTGTCAAGGACCTCGGGTGTCACAGTGAGAAGGCCGGGGTCATCTCAGTGCTGACCTAGAGCACGTCTGCTCCAGGTGCACCCTGCGGAGCCTGAGCTTCAGGGCCGGGCCAGGCGGGCCGTGGACTGCAGTGGACGGGGCAGCCCATGGGGCCCGCCTGGGGCATGAGGAACAGCTTGGCCCTGCTCGGGGCCCAGAAAGCCAAGGGCAGCAGCAGCTGAGCTCTACACCTGGGCTCGAGACCAGCCCCGCTTCCTGGGGCCTCAGGCAAGGTGGTGGCCGCCCCGTCCCCACCAGAAAACAGGGAGTGAGGGAGGTGGCACAGAGCAGGTGGCAGTCAGTGGCTTGGCTTTGGGGATGAAGACACCTGTCATGGGGATCCGGGAGAAGTGCCCTGGAAGAGGGGGGGTGAAGGCGCCAGGCTCGAGGGGGGCACATTAGTCTTGAGGCTCTGCTGACTTGGCTTCGCTGACATAGGGAACATTCTCAGAACCTTCGCGGGGCTGGGGAGAGCCCGAGGGGGACAGAGCACCTGCCCAGCATGCACGAGGGCCACAAAACCCAGCTGACCAGGACGAGAACCTCCACCCACAGGCCCAGAGCTCCCAGCCCTGTGGCCGGCCCTCCCTGGAGGTAAGGAAGCCCCCAGCCACTCCTGGAGCTGGCCCCCCACCAGCACGGGCCTCCTGTGGACGGGGCCTCCTGTGGACGGGCCACGGGCACAGCTCAGACTCAAGGCTCCTAAGGCTAAGCAGGTGGGGGAGGCTGGCTCCAGGCATCTGCCGCCCGCGGTGGCCTCAGAGGCTGACTCAGGGATGGGCCCCTGCTGCACACAGCCATCACAGGTGCTGACTCATGCCAGCACCCGCCGGGCTGCAGAGGAGAGGACGTTGGTGACTGTGGCACCTGCGTCAGCATCTCTGATGCTTCCAGAGCTCAGGCTGAGCCTGCGCCTCCCCCTCCCCTCCCCTCCCCTCCTGGGGCTGCTGGGGGGGCCACCTGCGTCAGCCTCGGCGGGGCAGCGGGTAGCTGGGAATGTGAACCCCACAGGAGGCTGTGGTCCCCATGCATAGCTGCGCATCCTGATGGACGGAAAAGGGGGCTGTGACACAGTCTGGCCAGAGGCTGGGGGATGAGGGCGCAGGAGGTGGCTGTGGGGTCTCTGCTCTCCAAGGGTCTGGGCAGAGGGTGGCCCAGAGCACGGAGATGCACTGGCCACAGGACACAGCTGTGAGGCGGCAGCTGTGGGCAGTGGGCTTGGGGTCCTGGTGCCAGGCTGCCTGCGTCCAGGTCCTGGCCGTTGTCCTTGAGCTGGCTACTAAACCCGCCCCCCCCCAGGCTCATCTGCTCCAGACTCCTGTGGAAAGGGCTGGAAAGAGCCCAGTGAGGGTGGCCATAGCATGAGGGCTGGTGGGACCTTTCAGACCGGGCCCAGCCTGCTGGACATCTTCTGTGTCCATCTATGCTCACAGTAACTTGCTTGTGCCAGGTGGTGACCAGTGTGGGGTGGCTCACTGTCCAGGCCCTGCAGGGTGTGGTCCTTTCTCACAGCTGGGAAGCGGGTGCTGACCCCCAGTGGAGGAAGCAGAGGCTCAGAGAAACCAGAACGCCGAGTCTCCAACCAGTGGGCACCCCAGCCCGGGTTTCTGAACAAGGGTCTGCCTAACCCCAAAAGGGCAAGTTCTGATTCAGCCAGAGCAGCTGGGGCCCCAACGGAGCTTGTCCAAGGGAGCAGATGGCAGCTGGGGCACGGGAGCCAGGAGATGGAAAGATTTGGCACTTGGTGGTCTCCCGGGCACTGGGCGCGTAGACTCGAATCAACCCAGGCCCTTCCTGTCCCCTCTGGGGAGTGCACAGGTTCCAGCCCTGGTGGTCACAGCTCCCCAGGGCGGCCCCGTGACTGGGGGGCTGTGAGCATCTTCAACTTCCAGCCACTCGGAGCCTCATCCTGTGCCCTCCGCTCAGCATGTCCTTCATTATCTCCACGTCTGTCACCTAAAGTATGCGTCTGCTTGTCTGAGTGCTCACCTGAGCACTGGCCATCTGTGCAATAGACTGTGGCCGCTCCTCTCTGCCGGCAGCCAGGGCCGAGCGGGGGTAAAGGGCTCAGCAGCCTGGATGCACGGGAGAGCTAGTGCCCAGGGCAGCGACAAGAGCCCCTGGCGCGGGCAGGGAGGGGAGTGACGGCGTCCACAGGGGCCCACCTCATGGGATGTGGCTGCAGCAGATCCCCAGATGGTACAGCGGTGGAGCAGGGAGCCCGGGCCCACCTCCTGTCCTGCCAGCCTGCCATGGCCTCCCCTGGCCGTCCCCTCTCCAGGCCACCCCAGCTTTGGCCTGGACCCCACTACCCCTCGCCTCCCAAGAATGAGGCTCCTGCAGTGGCCCTTCTCTGCCCTTGTGGCCTTCCCTGGGCCATCCACAGTGCACAGGTGAGTGGCCCCTGACCTGTCCCCCTGCACCCTGCGGCACACCCTCTCTCTGACACACGTGGGCCACGTGACCTGCTGGGTGTCTGGGAGGTTGACGCGTTCCTGGTGTGGTCCCCCGTGTGGTGGTGCTGAGGCTGGCGGGGCTTGAGAGGTGGGCACAGCGGGAAGTGGCCAGGTCACGGGCACTGCCCTCAGAGGGGATTAATGTGCTTCTGCCCCTCCCCATTGCTCCTGGCTTCCTGTCCCTTGACTCCACCATGGTGACGCCATCCGTTGCAAGGCCTCCCCAGAGTTCAGTAGATGCCCACCAGGCTCAGATCTGAGAACTGAAGAGAAACCTTTCTTCTTTCCTTGTTCTGAGCAGGGGATCTCACTGTGTCACCACGCTGGCCTTGAACTCCGGGGCTCCAGTGACACTCCTGCCTCAGCCCCCGAGAGCTCATCTCTTTTTTTTCTGTTTTTGGAAGAAAACTTGCTCTCCTCTGGTGCACGTTGCTCACGCACAGTGGTGGCTCCTAGTGACATGCTCATAGTACAGGGGCCACTTGCTCAGCTTCACTCCCCGCATCTCCCCTTTCCTTCCCCCTCCCCCACCTCTTCCTTTAACCTCAGGGCCTCCTTCACTTTCCTGAGTCCCTTTTTTGTCCCCTCTAGATTCCACATGAGAGAAAACACGGGACACTGTCAGAGTCTGGCTTATTTTTTTTTAACATGATATTCTCCAGTTTCATTTATTTTCTTGCAGATAACATAATTTCATTCTTGTTTATGGCTGAATAAAACTCCATGATGCATACATGCCACATTAAAAAAATCTTCTGCTCCTCTATTGATGATCTCTTATCTTTCTGAAGTGCCCGGCCTCAGGTATTTCATTATGGTAAAACCAACTTAGCCCATGTGTTTTCTAGATTCCAGAAACTGTCCAGCCCTTGCTGCCTCCTGACTGAGCACCCATCTCATATCTTTTGTTACACTGCCCGTCTCCCCAATTCTCAATGATGGGGTACACCAGAAATCGGTCCTCAAGTACATTTCTTTCAAGACCTGTGTTCTCAACAGTTTTGGTGACCCTTCTGCCAGTCTGACTACCCTGTTTTAAAAGTTAAAATGTTTTTAATGCACAAAGTTCCAGGATTACAAAGAAAAAACAATATATTTAAACAAGAATTAAAATATTAAAAACATCTAAACATTATTTCTTTAGTGATGCATCAAATAACAAGAGGGGGGAGGGGCATGTGACAGCTGTCATTTCAAAGTAGGGACGCCCCGATGTGGCACCACTGCCAGTTCACATCAGTGACAGCCACGGGCCTGCTGACAGCTAGTGTCCTGCCTGCACTCACTGCAGACAGAAGGGCTGCATCTGAGTCAGAGCTTGGCAAAAACAACATGTACTCCACCCCTGTCCAAGATCATGGGCCCTTGAGGTCACTCTGCTGTCCCTGGGGTACCTGCAAGTGAGTCCCCCGTCCTGTGTCAGAGGACGCCAGGTGTGGATTGAGGCTCCACGCTATCCCCAGATCAATGTAACATCTCCAGGGGACACTGGATGGACACCCCAGAGGACACCATAACTGAACTGTGGACCCCCAGCATCACGGGCCCCACATCAGGGAATCGAACCGCCCGGCGGCGGCGGGAAGAAAATGCCTAAGAGGCTTCTTCGTTCTCACCAGACCTGCCGCCCGATGCACGGTCACGTCCTGTCCACTCCACACCCCTAACCGGCCACGCTACGCCAATCCACTGACACAGCCACTGTCCCCGAGCCCCGCTCCAGGTCCCTAGGCCAGCCCCCACAGGTCCACCAGGTTGACCCTTCCTGTAAGGGTGGAAACGTCCTGCACCTGCGCTGACACAGTGGCCACCAGCCCCCTGTGGCTAGTGAGACTGAGGGACTGAATTTTATACTTTGTTGAATTTCAGCTAATTATGGTTTCAGAAGCCTTCGGGCCCACTGTGGAGAGATTACATGCCTCCTCTGCCTGAACACGAGGACCACCAGACAGCCCAGATCATGTGCACAGGCGGACCCCGGGAAGCAGCTGATCTGCACAGAAGCCCCAGTGCACCAGGCCTCCTAGGATCCCACCCCTGTTGTCCTCTCCCACCCTGCTCCTGGGCTGCAGCACTGTAAAACCCATAAGTGACAATGTCCCCACAGCAAGCTTCAAGAAGGCCCAGAGGAGGCAGAAGGTGGAAGGGCACTCTACCCGGGAGCTACACCTCCAGAGCTTTCTAGTTTTTATTTTGAGACAGAGTCTTGCTAAGTTGCTGAGACTGGCCTCAAACTTGTGATCCTCCTTCCTCAGCCTCCTGAGTCACTGGGATTACAGGTGGCCACTGTCCTGGCTAGAGGGTCTAACTTTTTTTTTGGTACTGGGGTTTGAACGCAGGGGCACTTAACCACTGAGCCACATCCCAGCCCTAGAGTGTCTAACTTTTAAGAGTCAGAAATATGGACACTTTGGATCTGTTGGTATTAGCTCTGATGCATTTAAATGTGGAACAGGAAAAACACAGCTTGTTTTTCCGGCTAGATGTGGCCAGTGAGTTAGCAACCTGCATTCAGGTGATCAGGGGTCACAGGAAGGGCATTCTAAGCAGAGACCGCAAGAGGCAAGCAGAAGCCAGGAGCCACCAGTGGCTGGCTGGGTGGCACTAGGAAGGTGGCTGTCGGACATGGGGCAGCTGTGGGACCTGGGTCTAGGCATCCTGTAAACAGCTGCAAGGCTCAGGGTGAAATGCCAAGCTGAGCAGAGAAGGCCCGGGCCTACCGCCCCCTGCTGGCTCTGAGCCCCCCATCCTCCCAGGTGGGACTGGGTCCCTTGTTTCTAAGGACAAAACAACAGGGACTTTCAAAGTCACCCCATCCACTCCTCCCTGGGCCCAGCTGACACTCCCAGCCCAGGGACGCAGGCGCCACTCACTGCCTGGCCCGTGACCAGCCGGGGCACAGAAGGTGCCGGATACATGTGTGGAATGAGGAGCCTGTGTGGGCTCAGCTAACTGCCACAGAACTTTGGAAGCGGGGAGACACACACACACACACACACACACACACACACACACACACACACACACACCCACGACACAACCCTGTGTCATTATTACCCTATGTCCTCAACCTGAAGGAGCTGGGCCAAGTGGCCTCTGGGGCATTGCGGGGCATGAGGAGAACCAGAGCTGGGACCAGAACCCAGGGCTCCAGGCTGCCGGTTCTGGGGAAGGAGCAGTCCCTCCTGAGAGGGCTGCCGGGCTCAGGGCCACGGGAGCCTGGAACTGCCCCCAGGTTCTCAGGAACCAGCCGGCGCTGGGCCCCGACTCCCAGCTCACCTGGGGCTCTGTCGGGGTCCAGCTTTGGGGGCACACAGCTCCCAGATGGTTTCCAGGGGGAGGGGACAGGGAGCAGGCAGGGGCCGGCGTCTCCTACCTTGTTGATGCTGAACTGCCCCTCGAAGCGGCAGCCCACCCCGTTGTTGAGCGGGATCTTCATGGAGTTGTCGATGTGGCCCACCTCGTGCCGGCCCATCTCGTCCTGGATGTCCAGCCCGACCACTGTGGAGCCGAGGAGACAGTCACCCCACCAGGCGGCAGGTGGGGAGCAGCCCCTCACAGGAGCCCAGGCCTCCGTTCCAGGCCCAGGCCTCCCCTCGCTGGGTCGGCAGAGGACAGAGGGAGGTCATCAGCCAGCGGGGAGAGAGTGGCCCCAGGCCGGGAGGAAGCAGGGGTGGGCGGGTGGCTGCTGAAGCGAGGCCCATGCGGGCAGTGAGTGGTGGGGAGGGATGGACCGTGGGGCCTGGCGTGCTGGAGCGCTGAACCCCAGCCCTGCACTTTCCCAGCTGGGTGGGCTTGGCTCAGGCACTCAGGACCCCTCCTTGCCTCTGTCACCTCCCTGGGAAACGGGGGCGGTGAGGATGGGACATCCCTGAAGATCAGGAGGACCAATGGTGCTTGGAGCTGGGGCTGCTGGGCAGTCAGCAGGACGTCCGTCCAGAAGCTCCAACTCGGGTCACTGTGTGAACAGGCCAGAGCTCGCTCGCAGCCCCCGAAGTCTGGCCTCCTCCCCAGGCCTGCTCCTGCCTGGCCCGGTACCGGCCTCCGCACAGGGGAGGCCCACCAGGACGGGGCTTCCTCCCGGGGCTCGGCTGCTTTCTCTAGCCTCCTCCGAGCCCCACAGAGGACACCTGTGACTTGGAGTCTTTGCCTGACTTCAATGGGACTCTGTCACCTCAGTGTGACACGACTTCCCCATGTGTAAAATGGACAGGCCAGTGTCTCCTGCATTCCCCGAGATGGTCCAAAGGGCAGGCAGACCCCCTGCAGGCAGGCCGGCGGGAGATCTTAAGACTCCATAAGAGAACCAGGGCCAGCCCTGCTCCCTAGTGGGCGTGGAGGGGCACGTGACTGCCTGTCAAAGAGGACCTCAGGTCTGTAGGATGTGGGGACATGGATGTTGTGAAGGTGAGGCTGACAGCACCAAGCAGGTCCCTGTCGGACTCAGCAGATCACCCCCAGCTCAGGTCCCCACACAGGTGTGAGGCCTCTCGGGGCAGCCTTCCTTGAAATCAGTGGCCAGTGTGAGCGCTCCCTTGGCCATCCGTCCAGCAGCCCTGCGACCTCAAGCAAGTCACCTAACACCTCGGTGCCTGTTTCTTCCTCCGTCACAGACTGGCTGTGAGGAGTCAAGAAAATTGAAACAGCACCTACTGTGTGCTAGACGCTCTTGTCAGAACATGCCACTGGAAAACGCCTGTGGGGACCGGCTGTTGTCAGCCCCAGCCCACCCGGGGAAACTGAGGCACGGGGTCTCCCTCCCAGCTGAGAAACAACAAGGCTTGGACCGGAGCCAGGAAGTCTTGCTCCAGAGCCAACCCTCAGCAGCCCTGCGGGGGCAATGATACCCAAATATGTCAACACGGTCAAGGGTTCAGGATGGGCCTGGCCCTGAGGAAGGGCGGTCATTTTTTTATTAGTATTCTGAGTAATGTCAGAGCAGTTGAAAAAAAAAATCCCTCGTGGGGCGCTGGCTCTGAGAGCCCTAGGGACACCAAAAGCTGAGGCTGCACAAGGGCCACCTATAAAATGGGGCAGCATTTGCATATGACCCACGGCATTCAAATCTCCTCCCCAGGACTTACAACAGGCTCTGCAAACAGCTGCTACAGCTTGGACCTCAGGTGCCCCTGAGACCCATGTGAGAGAGCCTTGGTCCCTGGCTTGGCACTGTTGGGAGGTGGTGGAACCCTCAAAGGGTGGGGCTTAGTGGGAGGCCACTGTCACTAGGGTGTGCCCTTGAAGGGAAGGAGGACTACAGCCCCTTCCTCTCTCTTTCACTTCCTGCCAGGAGCAGCTTTGCTCCAACACACACACCACCATGATGTGCTGCATAGCCCCAAAGCAACAGAACCAACCAGGAAAGGACTGAATCCTCCCAAACTGAGCCCCAATAAACCTTTCCTCTGTAAGTCGATTTTCTCAGGGATTTGTTACAGTAACAGACAACTGGCGAATACAGTTTTTATGTTGTGTCCTTTAGGGAATAATGATGAGGAAAAAGTCTGTTCAGGACAGACTTTTTCCCCAAAGTTTTTGATCTGCAGTTAGTCAATTCCCTGAATGTGGAACCGGCAGATGTGGAGGGCTGACTGTGTGTGTTTGCACTGAGTGGTGGTAGGGAAGGGGCCCTACTGCCAGCTTCCTTAGGGATGATGGCACAATAGGGAATAATGAAAGGGAATAAGAGAGGGGCATTCCAATGTTTTAACTTTCTTCTTTACATATTTTTGTAATTTGAATGTGTGTCTTTAAAACTGTGCCAAAAAAATATTATTTGGGGGCTGCTGGGGGTGTGGCTCAGTGGTAGAGCACTCACCTAGTATGTGTGAGGCCCTGGGTTCGATCCTCAGCACCATAAAAAATAAATACATAAAATAAAGGTCTAAAAAAAGAATATTATTTTTAAAATCAGGGTGTGAGGTCAGACATGCAGCATGATCTCAGCAGCATTTAGAAAGGCAGAGGACGGGTGGCCAAGTGGACAGAATGATGTCAGTGTGTCCACAGACACCGTCTCTGCTCCTCTGGGTTTGCCAATGAACAATGACAAACATGCATTTTTTTAAAATATTTTTTTAGTTGTAGACGGACATGATACTTTTATTTAATTAATTTAATTTTAATTTTTTAATGTGGTGTTGAGGATCAAATCCAGGTCTTCACACGTGGGAGACGAGTGCTCTACCACTGAGCCCAGCCCCAGACCACAAGCATGCAGTCTTGGCTATGATATGTGGCTGGGGTCGTGGGCCAGTGGAGGGGCGTCTGCCTGGCACGTCTGAGGCACAGGGCTCGAGTCTCAGCACCACAGATAAATAAAGATCCACTGACAACTAAAATACACATAAAATGTGAAGTCCCTTCCTCCCTCCCTCTTCCCTCCCTCCTCCCTCCCCCACTTCTTCCCTCCTTACCTCCCTCCCTCCCTTCCTTCCTCTCTCTCTCCCTCCTTACCTCCCTCTGTCCCTCCCTCCCTTCTTACCTCCCTCCCTCTCCCCTATCTCCCTCCCTCCCTCCTTACCTCCCTTGACCCTATCTCCCTCCCTCTTTACCACCCTCCCTCCTTACCTCCTTCATCTCTCCCTCCTCCCTCTCTCCCTCCCTCCTTACCTCCCTCCCCCTCCCCCTTCTTACCTCCCTTCCTTCCTTACTCCCTCCCTCCCTCCTTACCTCCCTCCCTCCCCTCCCTTTTTACTCTGCAGTGCTGGAGACAGCCTGGGCCTTCGTGCTGCACAGGTTAACCCTAGCTGCACCCCAGCCCTTAAGTTCTTCTAACAAGAAGCCGGGTGCCGGGCCTCCAGGCTTGCTGCTCCCATTCAGGATCAGGGGCCAATGTGGCCAGCAGCCTGAAGGTGCATTCTAGGCCACTGCTTGGAGCTGGGACAGAGCCCAGAACCATGTCCCCTCCCTGTTCCACTGGCCCCCGTCCTCTGGCCTGACTAAGATTTTCCTTCATGATCAGCTTCTGAAGGAGAAGCTGCCAAATGAATTGTTTTCCAAGAGGAAGGAAAAAAAATTTTTTAAATGAAAATAAATAGAACTGACCTATTTCAATAAGTTCTCTGGCTCGGGGCCACTGTGGATTCAAAAGTCTAACGTCAGTCTCACCAGAAGCAGGGACAGGGCTGACACCTCCCTGCTTCTGGCTGGGCCCTGGGCGTCCTGCCTTGTGCTGTGCCCTTTAATGGGGGCAGGCGGGGGGAGGAGGGGGCATCAGGTGATGCGCCAGGCAGTAGAGGGCCAGTGGCTGAGGAAGCCCAGAAATTTTAACAATGGTCACGGTTTTTGTGAATGAAGGAGCCAGGATCTGACCCTGAATCTGACCTTGACTGCATTTTGTTTTACAGGAGTAATTCACTGTTTTGATTAAAATACCCAAAGTAGGTTTGAAGTAAAAAAGGAAGCTTCCTGACCTCCCCCATAGGGACATCTTTGGGGACCTCTTGCTGACGGTGCCCACCCTCTTCTGCAGGTATTGCTGGCTCTGGCCACCCTTCTCTGGGCCACTGCTCTGGGCTACCTTCCCGAGATGCTTGGAGGCCGGTGACCCCGATGCTTCCACCCACAGCAGCCTGCAGCCACCAGCCAGAGAGAGATGGCACCTGATCCCATCGCTACTGTGGGAATAACTGGACGGTGTCACCACATGGCACAGCTGCCATGATGCCGGGCTGCGGCTGGACTGACACTAAAGACTCATCTTGGCTACCTCCTGTCAGGAGCCCCAGCCTCTTCCTCCTCAACAGACCACGTGCATGGACCCTCAGGCCCTGTCTCTGAAGACCAAGAGACCCGAGGGACTCCACCCGGCCCACCAGGCTGCTCTGCAGCGGTGACCCCGTGAGGAGTTTCTTATCCCCACAAACCTCCGAAATACCTTCTCCTAAAACAGAGAGCGGGGCCTCAGAGGCCCTGTCCCCCTGGCTCACCCTGGCCACCTGTGCACACAGATCTGCCCACAGGAGTGAGCGCTGCAGCGGCCTCAGGAACACTCACGTTCGCAGTGCAGGTTGGGCAAACTGATGTTCAGGCTGACGTCAATCTTGCCCCCGCTGTCCTTGTCCGGGTCATCGACGTAGAGCTCGTTCACACTGAGGGCGAGACAAGCAGAGCCTTAACTGAGAGGGAGGCAGCGATCAATGGGGGACGGCCAGTGCCTCGTTGGTGACCAGTGCTCAGATGACCGGGGCCCACCTGAGTCCAGCCTTTGTGTGCTCCGGCGCCGGGCAGCAGGGCTTTGGGCTCCAGCCCCTCCCAAGGCTCCCCACCACGTGGAGGGAGGAGGGGTGCGGGGAGACAAGGGCACATCTTTCACATCAGACGGGTCCAAGTTCAAATCCTGGTGGTGGCACTTTCCACGCGCACGTGAGCCCATCTGTTAAATGCAGATACGCTGCTCATTTCTAACGGGGTGGTTTGAACTCTGAAATGAGAACCACGGGTCTTCCTAGGGCTCAGGGCCGGGCACCAACGACCGTCCAGTGCCATCTGCCTCCTCTCGTGGGATCCCTTCCTATCCAGCTGGGAACCTGGAATCCCAGGGAGCTCATGCTTATAAAGCCCTGGGGGTGGACCCCGGGTTGTGGACCACAGGAGATGTGGCTGCTGGAACCAGCAGCAGAGAGCACGGCTTCGAACAGACAGAATGTGTCACCCTGCGCATACAGAGAGCTCTTTCCTGGCTCCGACTCCTGCTCCCCATGATTCCTGCCACCTCATCCCGTCCACTAGATAAACCAGGGTCACGGCACCACCCCAAGATCCTCATGTAATGGCACCTGTAAAACTCCTTGTGCCACATAAGGACACAGCATGGATTGTAGGGACAGGGATATGGATATCGCTGGGGGCAGGGGATCATTATTCTGCTGCTTTTATTTTATTTTATTGGTACTGGGGATTGAACCCAGGGGTGCTTCACCATTGAGCCACACCCCCCAGCCCTTTTTATATTTTAGAAACAGAGTCTTGCCAAGTTGCTCAGGACTTCGCTAGGTTGAGGCTGGCTTTGAACTTGCAATCCTCCTGCCTCAGCCTCCAGAGTCTCTGGAATTACAGGTGTGCACTACCATGCCCAGCTGCTCTGCTGCTTTTAATGGCCACAGCTAGGGGACATGTGGCTCCAAACAGCCACATCACCTTGCTGACAGGGACAGTGGCACCAGGTCGGGTTTATTCACAAACATTTTTGGGCACCTGCTACCTGTCAGGCACCAGAAGCAGTGACGAAGCAGACAGGCATGGTCTCCACTTTTGTGGCACTTTCAGACCTCATGCCTCCTACACAAACACTGCCACCAGCTGATATCAGTGCTGGGACGGAGGGCTGCAGGGCACTACGGAGGGACACAGGGCGACAGGCCTCCAGGGAGCTGGTAGAGGGCTCCTCTGAGATGCGGGTAAGGTCTGCAGGGAGATGAGGCAGGTCCTGGCAGAGACGGGAGGAGGACCCCGCAGCTTGCGCCAAGGCCTGGCAGTGGGGAGGACACAGCCTGTGTGGGACCCGAGTGAAGGTCACCGAGGCTGCATCATGGAGCAAAGGGGAGGCAGGGCTGTGACGCAGTTGGAGAGTGCCGGGCCGGCCAGGCCACCGTCTTCAGAGTTGGTGCAGAGCGCAGCCAGATGGTCAGGCTCGCACTTGAATGGGCTCCCTCCAGAGGGACCATCCTGTGACAGGGACACCAGATGGGAGGCAGCCAGGACATGGGGGGATGGACAGGAGGCCAGGCACCATGCAGAGCAGGCCGGACTTGCAGAAGGGTGGTGGTGGGGTGGGCAGAGGCAGGCATGGGGGTAGAAGGCCACATTTCTCTCTGGGCCGGGAGCCCCTGGGGAACTCGGGGCAGGAGAGGAACAGGTACTGAGTTTCAGGGGCTGTTCTGATCGGGAGGAGGCTAAGGAGCTGCTAAGAGGGATCAGAGGCTCAGTCTGAGCTCAGTTAACTCCCCACAGGGAGAGGGAACAGACTCCATGGGTGTGGCCAGCAGGCAGCCCAAGGGGGAGGGCCACGGGGCTGGGCAGTGGTTACTTCAAACATCAGCAGGATGGGGACAGGGAGACGTCGTCAGTGGGCACAGAGCCGCCCATTTAGATGGACATTCCCGGTCTCAACTGCACAGAACTGGAGTTAATAATAAGGAACTCTTGGGCTCAACCATCAGACACGAGATTGCAGACGTCCTGTCTGGGGAAGACGAGTCAGGCAGAGGCGTGGATCTCCTTTCCACCAGAACTCCATCAGTTGCTCTTGGTACCTGCTGTGGCATAGCTGGTGCTCAATTAACACGGAACTGTGGGTGCAGAAAGGCAGCCCGTCTGCTTCTCTGTGGGGGCCACAGGGGTATTCCTGGGGACAGGCCAGCCAGAGGTAGCTCAGATTTCAGCCTGCGGGACCCCCAGCTTAATGGGTTAAAGGGAAGGTGGGAAGCTAATTAGGGAGGTCTACTATGTGCATTCACATGACCCTATCTGCTTCTGTGATTTTAACACCAGGAAACCAAGGTTCAGAGAGGGTGTGTCCCATGCCCAGTGTCACACACCAGGAAATGGCCAGGCTAGACTTTTTTTGGGGGGGGTACTGGGAATTAAACCCAGGAGCACTCAATCATTGAGCCACACCCCCAGCCCTTTTCTGTATTTTATTTAGAGGAAGGGTCTCATTGAGTTGCTTAGGGCCTCGCTAAGTTGCTTTAGGCTGGTTTTGAACTCGCCATCCTCCTGCCTCAGCCTCCTGAGCCACTGGTTGGCTCCAGGTGTATGCCCCATCCCTAGCCCCAGCTAGACTCTTAACCGGCTCGGCCTTCCGCCAGAGCCCAGGATTTCCACAGCTCACACTGCCCACCCGCCCTCCCACTCCTCAGGATCCAGGGTCAAGGGTAAGAATGAGGGAAGCCTTGGCCTCTGGAGGCCATGGGGAGGCAAGGGCGTCCGCTGGGCAGGGGTGCTCACATTGTTGGGCCACATCACACAAGTAGGAGGGACAAAGGCACATGGTGGGGGGGGCGTTGTGCACAGGGTAGGAGGACAGAGCCCTCTGGCCAGACGGACACCTCCTTGGCCCTGGGCACCCACTTTCTGCTCCTTGATTCACTACTCCAGAGGGCTGCTGAGTCACGAGCTGAGGGTGAGCGCAGAGACAGAGCCCAGCTTCCTCCCTGCCCCAGACTCTTCCCTGAAACAGCTCACCTTTCCCACCTGGTGAGGCTGGGCCTCCTCGAGCCACTGATCCACTGAGGGATTATGGGATGATGTCATTTCTGGCAATCGTGGGGAGGTGACCTCAGCAAAGAGCAGGGTGAATCCCAGGTGTGGCCCAGGTGAGTTCACCTGCCAGGCCCCAGAGCGCCTCTCCCGGGCCTGGCCTCCGGCCTCCCAACCAGAACAACCAGAGCAGCCAGCTGCCCAGGGCTCAGGGCCACCCAGAAGAAAGGGGCAAGGGCGCTGGGCGGGGAGGACAAACCCAGGCCTGTGGCATTTGGGCCAGAACAGGCTGCTCTGGGGCTCCTGCCTGGAGGGTCCCGGGCTGCAGGACAGCTGCGGTCCAGTCTCCTGCCCCTCCAATGCGTATGATCGGCACAGCTGCCTCTGCATCCAAGGCAAGTCCCAGGCCTGCTGGCTTCCTGCCACCCCACCAGGCCACAGCAGCCCCCCAGCAGGGCCCGCAGGACAAACTGGCTTTGGGGGTTGGTAAAAGGCCCATGGGCTGCCAGAAACCAGCCCACCTGGTGGACTGGCGAATGCTCTGTGGACCCACTGCAGTTTGGGGACTTCCGTGGGACTGGCACCTTGTGGTTTTTAGCACAGGCAATGAGAAGACCGTGGGGGCGGGGCAGACAGGGGTGGGCTCATCTCTAGGCTCTGCCACTTAGCAGCCGGGGCACCAGGGCATGCTGCTCCGCCTCTCAGAGCCTCAGTTTCCTCCTCTGAACAACTGGGGAAGCTTCTGAGAAAGTCTGATAACAGGCAAAATCAATCTCTGGCCATAGGGGTCAGAACAGTGGTGGTAGGGGACACTGACCGTGGGGGGTGTGAGGGAAACGCACTGTCCTGGTCAGATGGTGAGCACATAGTGCAATTGTAGGTGACAGTGCACCAAGCCTCACCCGCGAATCTGCACACTTTGCTGCACACAAGTCCCACAGACCTCGGCTACAAAGAAGGAAAGAAAGTCAGGAGGGAAGGGAAAGGGAGGGAGGAAGGGACAAAGAGAAAGGGGGAGGAGAGCTCCGGCTACCAAGCCGAGGCTGCCCCACAGCAGACACATAAGTCTGTGTCTGTCTGTCTGTTGCGCACAGCTCTCTTGGGAAAGACAGTTCAGCATCACAGGGAAGCCCCCAGCCAGGGATCAGTCCCGGCTGCACCCCCTCCTGGCTGACCCTGGACAAGGGGCCTTGCCTCCATCAGCCCCAGTTTCTCCAGATACAAAACGGGGCCATCCCAGTACAGTGGGTCCTCCGAATCCCAGGTTTTACAAACTGGGTTCAACCAACAAATATTCAAAAACAGAAGCTGACTCTGTTCTTATCAGACATATGTATTTTTTTTTCTTGTCACTGTTCCCTAACAACACAGGGTAACACTTACACCAGGATCAGACTGTGCGAGGGGTCACGTCACATACAAGACATCTAGAGATGTTGAAGTTCCCAGGAGGGTGGGCAGGTTCCCTGCAGATACTGCGCCATTCCACAGGAGGGACTTGAGCAGCCTCAGGTTTTGGTATCCTGGGTTGGGGTCTCAGTCTGGACCCCCCAGGACACCAAAGGACGACCAGTATCTATAACAGAGCTGTGGGCTGGGGGGCGCTCAGTGGTAGCGCTCTCCTGGCACATACAAGGCATTGGGTTCGATCCTCAGCACCACGTAAATGTAAAATAAAGATACTGTGTCCACCTAAAACTTAAGAACTAATATTTAAAAAAAAAAAAAAGAATAAGAGCAACTCTAAACATGGTCTTAATAAACAGTAGGTGCTCAATCTAGCTCCAGGACTTTTACCATCATTGTGAATAATGGGGATGGCACCAGGACCCCCTCACCGCACCGGGAGGAGTGAATGTACTGCTGCAGGTGGGGCTGGGCTCGGCCCCGTGGGGCAGCAGAGCTAGTCCCTCTGAGCTGGCCTCCTATTTGGGCCAGGATGACACCAGGGCCTTCACAGGGGCATTTCGTATCTTGCTCATGGCCAGTCCATGTGGGTCGAGGCCTCTGGGAGCCTCAGCACGGTGTGGTGTGCTCGCAGACTCCTGTGGAATGACCGTGAGGCAGGAGGGAGACCTCCGCTTGGGAAGTGGGGAGGGTGTGCCCACATTCCAGGTGGGGGACGGTGGGCGGCCAGCCAGCGTAGCCTGAGTGTGCAGGGAGGAGGCTGTGGAACTGACC